ATGTTTTGTCTGTATTTTCCATGAATTTGTCTGCCTTTTCCATGAATGTGTCTATTTTTTCCTCATTTTTGTCTGTTTTTTGCTTCAACTCTTGGATAATTCTGAATATTAGAGATTTGAATTCCCTATCAGTTAGGTCTAGTGCTTTTTCTTCTACTGGAAGGTCATCTGGTGTTTTATTTTGGATGCCTCCTGGAACCATCCTGTCCTGTTTTTGTAAATGTTTTGATATTGTCTGCTGTCTTCGGGGAATTCAGTGGTTATTTTCTTCATTTATTGATTGTAGATTTGTTTGTTTTGTCATGCTTTTTTGTTTTATTTGATTATGTCTGAGCAGGCGGGCTGTGAGTTCTTTGTTGTTTGCTCGTCTGTGGGCACAATACTTTTCACCTCCTTCTCCAATGGGCAGGGCTAGTCATTCAGGTATGGTACAGCAGGGAGTTGCTGGGATAGGTTTTTTGTGGCACTTACCAGGGCTGACAGTGCAGACCGGGAATCAGTGCAGGGTAGGTTCCAGTAGGTCGTGCCTGTGCTGCTTGGGAGTGTGATGTTCAGCGCACGGTGCAGGTAGGCGGGAAGGAAGGGAGAGATTGTGATGTGTGGAGCTAAGATAGATATTGAAAGATGAGAGAGAGGAGAGGGGAACAGGAGCCAAAAACATACACACAAACAAAAAAAAGTGCTAAGTGAGCTTCCTATTGGAGTGGAGAGGTAAGAGACTGAGAAATGGGTAAAAACAAAAATGAAAAAAAAAAGAAAAAAATGAAAATGAATAAATTGAGAAACTGGAAATGAAGAAAGACAAAAAGGGAATAAGAGAGAGAAGAAAACTAAACAAAGAAATAAAAAAAAAAAAACCCAAAATCAAACAAACCAAAACAAAACAAAAAAAAAAGTAAGTGACCCCAGAGATGTCCCTGTGCGTCTGCACAGAGTAAGGGACTAGCTTCCACGCCTTGTGGTATTGCCTGGCTAGAAGGGGCTCCCAAGCCAAGAAAAGAAAAAGAAAACAAAGAAACAAATCAAAACAGAACAAATCAGAGCAAACAAACAAACAAAAAAGCCCCGGGGGTCCCACCAGCGTGGCGGCATGGGCCAGGAAGCAGTTTCACAGTCAAGCGGTGTTTCACAGCCTTTCAGGAAGAATCAAAGATGGCGTACGGAGCCAGGTATTTGAGAGAAAGGAGGCGAAGGTGGTGAGAGGTAAGGAAGAAATCTAAAGAAGCAGAAAAAAACAACACCAGCAGCCAACAAATGGCACTCAGGGAGCTGGCCAGTGTGGGTAGGTGAAATCCAAGCAGCAATGGGGAGAAGCTCGTGCTTCCTGGAGACTGTGGCTGCAGGAAACAGAGGAGGCTAAGTGGGGGTGAAGAGGGGTGGGGGGTGGGAAAGCTTATATCGTGGGTTGCTGGTTGTTCTGTCTGCTGCTGGAAGCTCTGTGAAGCTGCTTTCTCATACCTCCTGTTTGCTGATCTCTGATACGAGTCCAAGATGGCAGATCCATGCTGCGGTAGCTGATAGGGGACCTCTGCATGTATCTCTCCTCACGCTCTGTTCTCGGTCAGTTTCTTATTCCATTCGGTGCTTGGCTGAGTTCTTTATCTCTTCATTTGATGCTTAGGGTTTCAGGATTGACATGTGACTCTGTTTGACTTAGTTTTTCTGATCTTTGCTGAAGAGGGATGGTGTGGTGCTTCTGACCATAGTGCAATGTTCGTGTTGTTTGTTTTTTATATTGAATATTCAGACTTGGTTGTATGGATTTCGTATATTAGTACTGTATCAGATATATGCTTTGTAAATATTTTCTCCCAGGCTATGAATATCCTTTCATTCTCTTCGCAGTGGCTTTTGAAGAGTGCAGCTTTAATCTGGATGAAATCCAAGCGCATGCTTTTTCTATATGTATAGAAATGAACATATGATTTTTCTTCTTTATTCTGTAAATGTGATGTATTTGATTGATTTTCGAATGTTAATTCAACCTCATATTCCTGGGATAAACCCCATTTGGCCATGATGTATTATCATTTTTATATAGTTCCGATTCAACTTGCCTTGTTTTAATATTTTACATCTATAGTCATGGAGGATATTGTTCTAGAATTTTTTTTTTTGGTAATGTCTCTCTCTGGCCTTGGCATCCAGGTAATGCTGCCCTCATAAAATGAATTGGGAAGTGTTCCCTCCTCTTCACTTTTCTGGAAGAGTTTGTGTAGAGTTAGTGTTATTTCTTCTTAAATGGTTTGAACACTCCAAGGAAGCAAAAGTGGATCCCTACCCACAATTTGATGCAGGTATCGAGACTGATGATGACACACACACAGAAGAAAAGGTAGTGAAATTGTTTATTACTCCCATGATAAGAGGCTTTATGGGGAAGGAAGGGCAGCTCCTAAGCAGGTCTGAAAATCACTTGAAAGAGCAGGGAAAGGAGAGTGGCTTTTTATGGTAGTGGGTGGGGCTAGGGTGAGGATTCCCTAAAGTGCTTTGAACTTCCTGATAGCACCAAAGGCGGGTACATCTTTCTTGTCAGTTGACCACATATGGGGAAGGGGAAGAGACAGGAGCAGGGCTTAAAAGCTGTCAGCAGCCAAATATCAAAAATGGAGTCAAACTCTATTACAGTTCTCCCCTGATGCCTGACTGATGACTGGAACCTGCCATATTTCCTTTAATTAGGTTTGAACTTATTTAAATAAGTCATTATGGCACTTTATGAGGCCTGTAGCCTAAAGCCAATAAGGGAAATAAAGGTTCCATTGAATGTCTTGTTCAACAGCCCAAGCCTGTGTATTTTGAGGAGTGAAGTTTGTGTCTGGTGACTTCCCATACTGTCTGGACCTCTGAAGGGAATAGGTAGTGTCTTGGTGAGGCTGTGCATTATATCTTTAGTGGTCAGCAATTCGAATCTACCAGCCACATCTTGGAAACCCTGTGGGGTAGTTCTACTGTATCCTATAGAGTTGCTATGGGTAGGCCTCAACTGGATGTCAACAGATTTGGTTTTTTTTTTTTTAATGTGTTAAACCAAAAACCCAAACCTGTTGCTGTTGAGTCGATTCCGACTCATAGTGACCCTATAGGACAGAGTAGAATTGCCCCATAGGGTTTCTAAGGAGGGGCTGGTGGATTTTAACTGCCAACCTTTTTGGTTAGCAGTCGTAGCGCTTAACCACTGCACCTCCAGGGCTCCTTTTTATGTGTAGAGACATGTGTAACCTCTCTCTCTTTTTGGTGGTTGCCAGATATACTGCAATGGGGGAGGGAGACTCTCTAACTTGCTCATATTTAAAATTTTCTTCCTCCAGAGAGTCCCAAATAAGTATCTTCAGGGTTAGGGGCCTCCTCCACGGTTGAGGGCTCCAGGCTAAAGTTAGGTTTGAATTAACCCCTTGGCTGTGCCATGGAATACCATGGATGTTTTTCCTTATAACTCTGAGAATCAGAATTTGTTTTAGCTGTAAAGATATAAACAGCAGCAGCAGCAGCAAAGGCATTTAGTAGTATCCAGTGTTCCACCTCCTTTTAGGAGTTTGGACCTCACCTGAGTGTATCACGTAGTGGCTGTGTTCTTACCACCTGATAGGCCTGTATATTGCACAGAACATCAGTCTTTCCTCTGGGTGCTTTGTAGAATGGGGCTAATGACTGGCTGAGAAACACAACTAGTTGTCACATGGTAAGAATCATTCCCCTGAGCCCAGCACCAATCACAGCTTATGCTGGAATCAAGACATACAGTTCAATCAGAGATATATAGATAAGCCTAGGCAGAGACACACAACACAAGACCACTTTAAAGGGCCCTGATCTCATACTCCTGTCTCTAAATTCCAATTATTGAAACTTCTGACTTAGATTGGTTTAATATTTAACATAGGTTTGGTGGGACTAAGCAAATGGCATGCTAAGCAGTACAGTTCAAAGCGCAAGCTTGCCAGCAGGCAGCAGTTCAAAGTCCATGCTCACCAGTAGGCAGCAGCTCCAGAGCAGGCCAAGGCAAGAGAACAAAGACCCTTGGTGGTGTTGGTCATTATCTAGACATTATCTCACTGTGCTAACTGTCTTGTGGTTGTCCCTGGGGGGTGGAATCAACACTTCACCCAAAATTTGGTTCTGATGTTGAAACTGATGATGGTACACATTCATCAAGAGGGTATAAAAATGTTTGATATACATATAATGAGGCTTTTTAGGGATAGCAGGGCAGGCTCTGTAGCAGGTATAAGAAACGACTTGAAAGGGCACAAAGGGATGAAAGGGATGACTGGCTTGAGCTTTTATTGAGGGTCTGGGTTGGGATGGAGTGAGGTGTCCCTTACATGGGCATAGGCTTGCATGGTTTGAAATTCTCTCCAGAGGCAAGGGAAGGAGCAGGCAGTCTTTCTTACCAGTTTGCTCTAATAAGGCACAGAAAGGGAAGAGGGTGGTGGTATTTGAAAGCTGTCATCAAACTTCAAAAATGGAGTCTTTATTACACATGGATAATTGAGGAGTACCTGGGTGGTGCAAATGATTAATGCACTTCGCTGCTAACCAAATGGTTGGAGGTTTGAGTCCACCCAGAGGTGCCTTGGAAGAAAGGCCTGGGGATCTGCTTCCAAAAAATCAGGCATGTAAAACCCTATGGAGGCTTGCAAGTGACCATCCAAGGTACAACAATTGGGCTGTATTCACCTGGAACAACAGAGGAAGAAGGAGAGTCTGGAATAGAAGGAGGAAATGGATGTGTGGCTAAAATTGCCTCCATGAACAATTGCCTCCTCTTCCATGAGACCAGAAGAAATAGATGGTGCTCAGCTACCAATACTGACCATTTTGATCAAAGATTCTATAGAATAATTCTGATCAAAAGGGGGAAAATGCAGAACAGAATTTAAAATTTCATGGAATCCAGACTTTCTGGAGCCACAGAGGCTGGATGAACTCCTTAAACTATTGCCCTGAGAAAATCATTTAAACTTTAAACCAAAAATATCCACTGAAGTCTTCTGAAAACCAACAGTGTTGTTACTGTTGTTGTTCAGTGCCGTCAAGTTGATTCTGACCCATGGTGACCCTATGTACAAAAGGATGAAACACTGCCCAGTCCTGCACCATCCTCATGACTGTTGCTGTGTTTGAGCTCATTGTTGTGGCCACTGTGTCAATCCATCTCGTATTTTGACTGCCTTCCAACCTGAGGGGCTCATCTTCCGGCACTATATGAGACAATGTTCCTCTGCTATTTTTTAGTTTAGGTTAACTAGTAAAGAATGTCTGCCTTGATCATTATGCTATTCTGAGATGTATCTATATGGGATCAAACTGACAACAACAACTTGGAAGATCAGATAGGAACCTTATGGGGCAGTGTGTTTATGCTAATGGGGGAGGAACAACTCAGAAAAGGAGAGTGAGAATGGTTGCACAACTTGAAGAAGAATGTGATCAATGTCACTGAATTGTACATGTAGAAACTGTTGAATTGGTGTATGTTTTGCTGTGTATATTCTCAACAACAATAACAACAAAATAAATTATAAAACAAAAAAGAAAACCCTATGGAGGAGAGTTCTATTCTGACACTCATGGGGTCGCCATGATCAGAGTGGACTCAACAGCAACTGGTGATATTTATGGAGGGGAGCCAAGCTGGTATGCTTGGGATGAAGGTGACTGTATTTTTCATTTGACCTTTTAGTACTTTTTGACTGAAAAAAAACTATTTGCATGTGTCATTTTAAAAAATGAAAACTAATCTTTCTAAAACAGAAACTGCACAGACTCTGTAATCAAACAGACTTGCATTGAAGTACAAACTCAATCACTCCCTATGTGTGCAACCTTGACAAATGATCTTAAACTCAATTAACCTTTGTTTTCTCGCCTATAAAATGGGACTAATGCTATACCTTTAAATGATAGCTTTAAATGTACACTTCCATAAGTTTAAACTGAATGAAAGCACCTGAATCATTGTATGGTTCTCAGTAAATGTTATCAGTTTATATAATTGAGTGAGAAAGCAAAAACAAACAAACAAACAAACAAAAAAACCCCACGAAATTTCCATGTGGGAGGATGTGAATGTTTGTTTTGGAAAGGGTGGACTGTGTGGTAGGCAGATAATGTCCCCCAAACATGTCCATATCTTAATCTCTGTAACCAAGACAAAGGAAAAAAGCAACATTCAAAGAAATAGAAAATTATTAATATAAGCAAACTTGGGTATTATTATGCTATTAAACTTTTTTCTCTCATTGGTATTTTCTTAGATTTTAAAGAGGAAAAAAAACATACCAAGTTATCAGTTGGCTTCCTCCTGAAGGTTTTAGAAAAGAATTTATGAAGTCTTTTAATTTCTTTGTTGAAGAAGCTTTGCATGGCAGGTAACTTTATTTTATTCTTTGAACCAAAGAGTCACTATTTTAGTGGTACAAATGAATAGATGGATGCACGGATGCTTGCAGTGATGGTAAGCAAAAGAGATGATGGATGGATGGAAGGACAGACGGATGAGTAGACAGGTGTTGCATTCCAAATCATCCAGTCCAGTCCAGATGGATGGATAAATGGATGGATGATGGGTGGATGGCTGGGTGGATAGACGGATGGATGGATGGATGGGTGGATGGATGGACAGATAGATGCGTAGGCAGCTGTTGCATTCCCAATCATCCAGTCCAGTCACGGGAGATTCTACAGTACTCCATTTAATTCCCTCTTCCACTGTAAGCATGAATAAATTTCTGCATAAATTGGGGTGTTGTTCCCTTTGGGCCTTCCTTGCAACACTTTGCCTACAATTATTGTCTGTAATCTCTTCGGCACAGAAACTGAGAAAGGCACTTCAGCTTCTCATTGTTGGTAAGGAAATCAGAGAATCTTTTTTTTCCACTTATTTTTCCTACCCTTTCCTCACATTTTATTCTATTTGACTCAACGGCAACATTTTATTTCACTAATGGAGGGAACACTTAGAAACACTGATTTCGAAGAAGTTGAACCTCTGGCCACTTCAAGTTCTTTTAAAAAAACAATTAACCTGGTGCACAATGAGACATGAAGCTGACTCCTTTCTCTTTCACCTGGAATGCAAAGGAGTAAGAAACTCCATACTCTTAGACAGTAAAAAGATGCAAATCCCTACCTCTCTTGGTGTCTTCACCTCTTCTTTTTTTTCAAGAAAATTCTATTTATTAGTGAAAACCCATTGCCATCAAGTCAATTCCGACTCATAGAGACCCTGTAAGACAGAGGAGAACGGCCCTATAGGGTTTCCATGGAGTGGCTAGTGGATTTGAATTGCTGACCTTTTGTTTAGCAGCTGAGCTCTTAACCTCTACGCCACCAGAGCTCTATTTACTTATTTATTAGTGGAGGTCCTGATCAAATGTGTCTCTTTCCATAAAGCCTTCTTCCTCACTCAAGCTGGAAGATCACATCCCATCTTGTCTAGGTCTGATCTAAACCACTCATTTGACACCTAGTTTATACTGTGTTGTTAGTTACATTTTAAAAGTATATGCCTAGTCTGTTCTTCCCAAGTTAATATTTTTGAGGACAGACACAAGTAACAGTGCCTTCCTAAATTTTTTGTCTATTTATTAATAATTATAAATATAATTGATGAACGTTATTCTAGGAATTTATGCTGAATTACTGAAATTATCCAAAATATTTGACAATCATTCATTGTCATGTGAAATTCAAATACAAAGCAGAAGGCAATTTCAGCCCATCACCTCCGCTATGGGACTTGAAGTTGATCCTAAAGACCAGCATATGGCTAACAAGTTGTCAACCTCTGGGCCTTCTCTGACTGGGACACTATGGTGCAGTGGTGTGCAGGTTATAGGTTTGTGGAAGGCATGACCTATTCTCTCTGGTTCGGAGCCAGGCAGCCCGAACTGCCCAGGGTCCCAGCAGGGGAGCAGGAGTGCCTGAGTATTGATTCTTTCACTTCTCCATGCAATCAGGATGCCCCCGGGGCTTCTGAGCCCCTGTGCCTGTTACCTGTGTCTAGGGCATCCTCATCTATTTACATCTATGCTGTACAAACAGCATTATTTTCTAGGCAGGCAATGATGAGCTTCATATATTCCATTCTTGCCTTATTTTTTTTAATGTATATTATGTAAAAATGTGTTTCTAGTTTTTAAATTAATTTTAGGATAATTTTCTAAGCTATTAAATAATTGGAAGTCCCTGGATGGCACAAATGATTAAGCACTTGGCTACTAATTGAAAGGTTGGCAGTTCAAACCCACCTAGAAATGATTACGAAGAAAGGCCTGGCAATCTACTTCTGAAAGAGCAGAACCTATGGAGTGTACTTGACAACCCTATGGAGTGCAGTTCTGCTTTCAAACACATGGTGTCTCCATGAGTCAGAATTGCTTTTTAATGATGGACAATCATTGCAAGAAGAATGATACCTGAAATGGTCCCATAGACAAAAGTCTTAATTAGGTGTCACTAAAGCTATGGCATTATCTCCTCTAAATATCCCAGTCGGCATTGAAGTGGAAAGGCTAATAATGTGCTTCAAAACTAGGCTTTTAATTTTTTTTCAAATTACTTAACTCCTAGGAACAGCAGGAGCCCTGGTGACGTAGTGATTAAGAGTTATGGCTGCTACCCAAAAGGTTGGTAGTTTGAATCCACGAGCCACTCCTTGGAAACCCTGTGGGGCAGTTCTACTCAATCCTATAGGGTAACTATGAGTTGGAATCGACTCAATGGTAATCGGTTTGTTTTGTTGTTGTTGGGCATAAGAAAGTGGAATTCTTATTTTTAGCTGAGATTTTGGATGCTGATATCATCATTGAAGAGTCCCTTGGGTGAGGCAATCTGTCAAATGCAGAATACACAGTGATTTAAAAATAAGGACTATCATCAATATTCATGAGACTCTGTCTTCAAGTTGTACAAACAGTTTGGCTGGGAAACAAGACAGTCACTCATAAAAAGTCAATATGTAAATGAAGGCTAAACAGAGCATCACAGAATGTACTAAGTGGAGAGAGATCTGTGAGGTCTACTTTGTTCAAAGACAACTCCTAGAGCAGAAGGGCCTTGATCTGGCATTGAGAAATGGGTGGGATTTGGATGAGGAGTGAAAAGGGGAGAGGAAAAAGTGGAAACATTCAAGGGAGCAGAAACACCTAGACCAGAGCGACCGGCGTAGAGGGTATTTGTGGGACAGTAGTCAAATAGATGGGCTGCTGCCAGATATGCTCTTGCTTACCTGGAATATCTTCTTTGGGTCCCAAGATTCAATTGTGTATCATGAAATTAACACCTCTTACAAATATTTATCATTTATTTTCTTTCTTACAGGGAAACATTTGAACAATTTTTAAAGTTAATGGAACTACTTGGGATTCAGCGCAGTCATTTGCTAAGAAGAAGGGATATCGTGGATTCCTTAAAGAATGAGAACTTTTTAAACTGGTAGTAGTGGGAATTTTTGACTACTGTCCTTTCCTGATTGCTGAAAAGCTTGGGAAATCATTTGTATCCATTCTTCCTTCCTCGTTTGGCACTGTGGATTTTGGGCTACCCAGCCCCGTGTCTTATATTCCAACATTCCACTCCTTGCTAACTGACCGCATGGACTTCTGGGGATGAATGAAGAACCTTCTGATGTTCTTTGGTTTTTCTAGGAAGCAATGGCAAATCCACTCTCGGTATGACAACACCATCAAGGAACATTTTCCAGAAGGCTCTAGCCCACTGTTGTCTCATCTTCTACGGAAAGCAGAGTTACAGTTTGTTAACTCTGACTTTGCCTTTGATTTTGCTCGGCCCCTGCTTCCTAATACTGTTTATGTTGGAGTTTTAATGGCCAAACCCATTAAACCAGTACTGCAAGTAAGTAAAACCTTAGCACTCAATCTGGGTTTCATGCAGAGGCCCTCAGTGCAGAGTTGGTGGCTGCCTACTGCTAGTGGGAACCTGGGCTTGAAGTAGGCAGGCAAGTGAGGCACCTAGGGGCGCTATGTAGGGAGGCACTCACTCTGCGTTTTGTACAAGTACAGGGCCAGCTCTTGCATGACCCTGAGACTGGGGGTGTCCTTAAATCATGTGCCTTAGGCTCCTCTCTTTCCTCACCCTAGTCCTGGCTCTGGTGGGGTAAGCCATTCAAAAAGTTGATATTTTCATGTGCATTTTTCATGATTATGTATACAATAAGTCATGGCAGCTACATATGTGCAGAATAGAACTGCTCCATAGGATTTTCAAGACTGTGACCTTTCAGAAGGAGGTTGTCAGGCCAAGCTAGGTCTGTCTTTTGAGGTGCCTCTGGATGGGTTTGAACTGCCAAATCTTTTAGCTAGTAATCCAGCACTTAACTGTTTATGCTACCCAGGGACTCCAAAGACTTGAAGGCAACCAACAACAATAACATACAGTAAGTATGTGGTGACTACCCATTATGTGCAAGAATTGTTAAGGAAATGACTTGCAGGAAACAATGTGAAACCAGAGCAGGACTATGTGAGACTGATAGCAAGAGCTGTAGACTTCATGTCCGGGGTCCCCTGCCTGGAGAACCCTGGTTCCTGACACCATGTAGACCTTCTGGTCTTCGTTGACATCTGGGCACTGTCAGTTGTCAAAGCTGCCCAGGCGATTCTAATAGGCAGCCTGGCCTTAGAACCATAGCTATAAAAGCGAGAGGAGCTAAGGTCAGTTGGCTGCCTTTTGCCTATCAGCACTATTATGGAAGATTTCTTACTTCATCTTCTGGGATCTGCAGGGAAGTGTGATGATCTCCCTTCTTATAGAGTAGGAGACAGAGGCTCAGGTGGTGTAAGTGACTTCCTATTACCATTCAGCTCAAAGGCCAGGAGAGTTGAGGTTTGGCCTGGGCTTTGCAGGCACCAAAGTCTCTGCCCTTCCTCTATTGACCTTGGATGGAGTGAATAGGAGGAGTTGGTGAAAGACACCTGGGGGAGATGGGCTTTGAGTTGGTGGCAGGATATTTTACGAATGGAGAAGGGGAGGAAAGGCTCACCGGGTTATGAGAACAGGGACCTAAAGTGTGTAGGTAAAAGTGAGTTGGGCATTATATGGAAGAATTGTTAAGGAGATGAGTTATAGGAAACAATAGGTTCCCGATGACTCTGTCTAGACTAGACTAGTGGATGATTCAGTTGCAAAAATAAAGCCAGGCCAAATCTGGGGGTCTTATGGTAGGCCAGGCCTGGGTCCTGGGGCTGGGGGAGGGAATGGTCAATCAGGAGAACAATGAGAAGAGTTATAATGGCTGTGAGATGAGATGCTTGTTTTCAAAAATTTTTCTTCTGTGCCTTTTTCAATTTTTATATAATGGTCTTACATTGCTTCGATAATTATAAAAGGATGACAAGGCTGTTTTTGAGTGGTTGGTCCTTTGGGATTGTAGATCCTGCAGTATTATGTTGGGTAGGGTTAAGTTCAGGCAGAGCACCCCAATACGGTGAGGGGCTGGGAGCTAGGGGCAGCCACAGAAATGAGAGACAGTTAAGGTCCAAAGAAATATTAGAAAGTAAGAATTGATGAAACTGTGCTAGGTAAGATTTAGGGCATTAGTTCACAAAAAACAAAAACCAAGCCCCCTTGCCATTGAGTCGATTCCAACTCATAGTGACCCTATAGGACAGAGTAGAACTGCCTCATAGGGTTTCTAAGGCTGTAAATCTTTACAGAAGCAGACTGCCACGTCTTTCTCCCATGGAGTGGCTGGCAGGTTCAAACCACTGACCTTTTGGCTAGCAGCTGAGCGCTTAACCACTGGGCTCCATTAGATCACAACTTTTGTTAAAAACTTCCTGGGGGACTGTCTTAGTTTCTTAGTACTGAAGTAACAAAAGTATCACAAGTGGGTGGTTTTATGAACAGAAGTTTGTTTTCTCAGGGTTCAGGAGGGTAGTAGTCTGAATTCAGTGTGCCAGCTCTAGGGGAAGGCTCTCTGTCAGTTCTTTGTCTCAGCTTCTCTAGCATTCTTCTCTGCCTTCCTTGGAGAGCTCCACATGGCATTTGATTCCCCATTTGGGCTTGCTTCTCTCGTGCCTAATCTGTTCTTTTTATGTCTCAAAAGTGATTAGGTCTAAGACACAGCCTGCACTAACATGGCCTCGTTAGCATAACAAAGAAACCCCTATTCCCAAATGGGATTACACCCACAAGTATAAGGGTTAGGATTCCAACACATATTTTCAGGGGGTCACAATTCAATCCATTGCAGGGACTGAAAAAAATTACCATGCGCAGGTCTGGGGTTGGGCCTGGACATTGGCACTTTTAAAAAATCTTCCTAGGGGTTTGTAATGTATACTCACGGCTACAAATGTAGTGTAAGCATCAAAACCAAAAAAACCAAACCCGTTGCTGTCTAGTAGATTCCGACTCATAGCGACCCTACAGGACAGAGTAGAACTGCCCCATTGGGTTTCCAAGGGGCGGCTGGTGGATTCGAACTGCTGACAGTTTGGTTACCAGCCTGAGCTCTTAACCACTGCACCACCAGGTCTCCCGTGTAAACATCAGTGACCGAGAAAATCATGTAATATCGGTGCAAAACATGCTAAGTGGCACATTGGGTGAAGAGCCTTAGCCAATTCTGCCTTCACTTCTTATGCTGGAGATCTTCTCCAGCTTCTTCACTCAGCCCGATTCCCCCTGTTGGATCCGATCCCTCACACATGCTCTTCCAGGTGCTACGACCTCTGGTCTGGCCTTGGAAAACTCCCCAGATAACCATATCTCCCCTGATCAAAATGGGTGGAGGGTAGGCGGATGACCCTGATGCTGGAGTCAAGGTTTTTCAATGAAGAAAGATGCTCCCACTGTCTCAACTTCCCTCTTCTGTAAATTATTGTTGTTCATGAGAGTTGGATCCAGAACTGCTAGTGCTGTCTTGTGCTATGAGAACCTTGGTGTAATGTGTCTGTTTTAACCTAAAAGCCCTCTTCACCCCTATTTGGGATTATTTAATATTATTTATATGGGAAAATGTGCCCTGAGGTCTCAGAAAAATCAATTCCAGGCCATCCAGACACAATGGACATGGGCACAGTAGAGAGGGTATTGAGTTGTTCCAGGTGCTTTGAGAACATTTTAAGGGCATTGAGGAGAAGGCACTGAGATAAGGATGTGTTTAGTAAATAGCCTGACTTTCACTTGGCCTCTAGGCTTTCAAGAATAACTTCATTTACCTCCTTTCTTTTGTTACTTCTATCTAGGACCTTGAGAGCTTCATAGCCAAGTTTGGAGACTCTGGTTTTATCCTTGTGTCTGTGGGCTCCATGTTAAGTACCTATCAGACCCAGGAGATTGGCAAGGAGATGAACAGTGCCTTTGCTCACCTTCCCCAAGGAGTAATATGGAGATACGAGTGTTCACATTGGCCCAAAGATGTGTAATTGGCAGCAAATGTGAAAATTGTGGACTGGTTTCCTCAGAGTGACCTCCTGGGTAAGGGCTTCCCAGATCTGCTTCCCTCTTTCCATTTACATGTCTTTAGGGTTCATTGGGGCTCTGATCTCTCCTTGGGTATTCCCAGCAGCACAGGAAGGAAGCAGTTGGTAGCTAATGGCAAAGCTCCAGAGTGCAGGAGAGGAGCAACCAGCTGGAGTCTTGTGAATCAGGCTGTACTTCCAATGAGATCAGATGCCCACATAGCCAGCTCCCCTTCATTGCTTTCTATGCAATGTTTTTGCAGCCATAAATGATATTCTCTGTTAAGTCCCCTTGACTCTACTGCATTTGCACTGAGCAAGGTCACCCAAATACAATCCAAGACAACCTGTAAACTCCAAGAATACAGTCCAGGGTGGACACATGCCCACACACACATCCTCCTTATATACTAAGGATGTGAAGAGCTCATACCTTCACCATATTGATGCCAACAGTGTCTTTTGGATGTGCCAAAATATCTGATTGCCAAGCTGAGAAAGCTTATTGCTGGGTATTTTTCCCATAGAGTTCTCTAGTATCAAGGGGTTTTCTCTGTGCCCAGTACTGCTTCTTGGGCACCCCTCACTGCCACAGGCACTGGCTGGATCAGAGGCTCATAACCAAGATTATGGCTCAAAATGAGCTGGGAAATTTAAGAAACATGTTCCTGGTTCCACCCCTACACATGTATTCCACAGACTGTGGTGTGGGACTCATGACCCCCATTTTCAAAGATTTCACAAAGAGGTTCTGATATACTTTCAGGTTCAGAGGTGCAGGTCGAGATGACATCTTCATTATTACCAATCATTCTAGTTTGCTCTCAATAAGTGTGTGATAGAAAGGTAGGGACTGTAAATACAGTCCTGTAGGGTCCATTCCCTGCTTTCTGGGGCTTCTCATAAAATTGAGGAGAAAATTCATGCAGACTCTAAAGATGACAATGCCCTGTAAGTTTTCCAAGTGCCACGTGAATTGTGATGTCAATTAGTGTGTCAGTAATTCAGAGAAGAGGAAAATAAGTGAGCAGTGGAGAAGATGAAGAGAGGACAAAGAGATAGAGAACAAATAGAAATTAGAGAAGCAAAGAAAGATGAGACAGGGAGGAGAGAGAGGGATGGATGGCTGGAAGGAAGGAAGGAAGGATGGATGGATGGATAGATATATAGCACTCTTCTCTGAGGCTTTCTCTAGGATCTCAGTGGTTTCTGGACAAGGGGAGAAGTCTCTATACAGAGGCAAGGCTTGGAATCTTGAATCTTGGAACATGCACATTCAGGGTATTCCAAACAAAACTAGTAATTACAATCGCTCCAATATAGCTTGAGATTCCCTTGACATTTTCTTCTGCCATTGCTGCACTACCTGGTGTTATGAAACTTTTCTTTCTGAAATGTCCTGCTTTCTTTGAAACAGCTCATTCTAGCATCCGTCTTCTTGTCACCCATGGTGGGCAGAATAGTATAATGGAGGCCATCCAACACGGCGTGCCTATGGTGGGGATTTCACTCTTTGGAGACCAGCCTGAAAACTTGTTCCGAGTAGAAGCCAAAAACCTTGGTGTCTCTATTCCAATAAATCAGCTCAAGGCAGGAACTTTGGCTCTTATGATGAAACAAGTCATAGAAGACAAGAGGTATGCAGCACTCTGGGCATATGGTCACTTAAGCCAAAGGAAGCTTTGCTTTATATACCAAAGACACTGTGTGGGTCTCCTTTGTAAGAAATCTGAAACTTCCCAGGCATGAAATAATAATAAACAGGCGTGCTAAGAGCTGACCCATTTCCTCCAAGAGCAAGACTAGAGCAATTTAGGTTAGATGCTGAGAATAATTTTTTACCTTAAAGATTGTGAGGGACACAAAGATTTTACAGAGATACTTGTATCTCTGATGTCAGATAGATCTTGAAAGAGGTTTTTATGTGTTTGGGATCCTTATAATAATATTCTACTGAGGCAGGAGTTTGCCTTTGTGCTCACCAGATGCAGCAAGATCTTCTTCTCCACCTCTGGGTCTTTGCCCAGGCTGTTCTCTAGAAGACTCCTTCCCTTCGCTTCCCTTGGATGGATCTTTTCATGACATTCTGGTCCATCTTCAATGTCGCCTTCTCAGAGAGTCCTTCTCTGTCCACCCTAGCTAGTCTCTTCTCTCACTTACTCCAATTATCTTATTTCCTTCTTAACACACCTCAGGCTTTGTAATTATCCTGTTGGCTTACATTCTTATTTCTTGTCAGTCTCCCTACACTAGAAAGTCAGCTCCATGAGGACAGCAGGGTGTGTCTCATGCTTCCCACTGTGTTCTAGAGCCCAGCACATGGCCTGCCACAGAGTTCGGGGTTAATAATTTCTGTTAAGTGAGTTAACAAAAGGGCCCAGTGACCTCCAAGTAACTGCCTATCGAGCACAATGACTTCATTATTAAGAGAAAAAATATCTTTTTCTTTCTTATAGCTAAGAAGGACTGAATCCATTATTAGAGTTTCAGGTGCACACACCCTCAATCAGACCTCAATGCTTAATGAGAGTTCTTTGCACACAGGAGACACTCAAAAAATCTTTGTTGCATGCTTGTAAAACAACTACATAGCTAGTGGTTCTGAGTCTGAAAATGTAGTTAAGCTTCAGGGGTCTGTTAACCCTGGGGATTTTTTATATATTTGCTAGGTTGTGTGTTGCAAATATTCATTTTCTGAAGAATAGATTTGTATCTTTCACTGGATTCTGAAAGTTCTGAGACCCAAAAAGCCCAAGAACTGCAGCCCCCGCGTAATAGCCATTCTTATCTGGAATCTTTCCCAGACATTTTACAACACCAGGACTGGCTACATAATTTGTGTAACTGGGTAAAAATGAAAACATGGGGCCCCTAGTTAAAAATATGTTAAGAATTTCAAGATGGAGAACACAGAGAATAAATCAAATACTTGGTCCTTCTAAGTGCGGGGTCCCTTGACACTGCACAGTCCTTACCCCCATGGAGCAGCCCTGCCTACTTGATGCTCTGATGGTGCAGGAGAGTGCAGTGTCTTCTTGAGGTCCTGACAGTCCAGAGTCATACTCGTCACATAGCCCAGTGCCTGGCACCAAGAAGGTATATGTTCTAATACAATAATTACATCATATATAATTCTCCCATAATCTATCATTAGCTTTCTTGGGGTAGGGATTAGTTCTGTGGACTTACGCTATTTTAATAGTTTAGCTCTTTTAGCATCATGTGTGCATCTTTGTGTGTACATTTTGTTTTTTGAAATTTCCAAGGACCCAGCTTGATAGGCTTGGCCAGGTCAACAACTCTTCTTCGAAACTCACTCTTTTGTGCATCTGGAAGAAAAGATTCTTCCACTGTAAGTCTTCTGAGACCACGTCAGTAATGCCCCCACTGTCTCTGCCAACAGGTGCAAGTCTGCAGCCATGGCCGCCAGCATCATCAGGCGCTCCCACCCCCTGAGCCCCTCCCAGCGGCTGGTAGGCTGGATCGACCACATCCTCCAGACAGGGGGTGGGGCGCACCGCAAGCCCTCTGCCTTCCAGCAGCCCTGGCGTGAGTGGAACCTGCTTGACGTCTTCTTGTTCCTGCTGGGGATCACTCTGGGTTCCATATGGCTTTGTGGGAGGCTAGGCCACCGTGTGGGTCCAGGAAGCTAAAGCAGACATGATGGATGATTCTAGGGCTGGGTATGTTGGGGAGTCACTGGTTCTTGGGAGGCTTCTCCCAACACAGGCCACCCATGGTGTTCTCCCATCTCCTTCAGTTGCTGGTGGTACTGCCATTTGCTCCTTACTGTTTTCTTCCTCTTTTGCGAAATCCTTACTCAGCACTCTCAGGCTTCTCGCCTAGTTCCTGTGTGAATTGGGTCACCTCCACTCAGACATAAACCTTCACTAGCCAGCCAAGCCTTCCTTATCACTCCCATCTCCTAGGCACAGTTCTCTGGCCATTTCATCTTTCTTGTCCAGTCTCTCCCCATTTCTCCTTCTATCACTTTTTTTTACGTGAATGTCTATAGCAGCTTTATTAACAATAGCCCCAAACTGGAAACAGCCCAGATGTCCTCCAATGCCTGAATGGTTAAATAAACTGTTACATCCATACCATGGCGTGCTACTCAGCAATAAAAAGTAAGAACTGTCGATACATGCAACAACCTAGATGAATCTCCAGAGAAATATGGTGAGTAAAAAAAAAAGCCATTCCTGAAAGGTTACGTACTGTAAGATTCCATTTATACAGCATTCTTTTTTTTTATTGTTGTGCTTTAAGTGAAAGTTTACAATTCAAGTTAGTTTCTCATACAAAAATCTATACACACATTGTTATGTGACCCTAGCTGTTCTCCCTATACTGTGACAGCACACTCCTCCTTTCCACTCCTGATTACCTGTGTCCATTCAGCCAGCTCCTGACCCTCTCTGCCTTCTCATCTCACCTCCGGACAGAAGCTGCCCATTTAGTCTCATGTATCTATTTGAGCTAAGAGTCACACTCTTCACAAGTATCATTTTATGTCCCATAGTCCAGTCTAATCTTTGTCTGAAGAGTTGGCCTCGGGAATGGTTTTAGTTTTGGGCTAACAGAGAGTCCAGGGGGCATATCTTCCGGGGTCCCTCCAGTCTCAATCAAACTGTTAAGTCTGGTCTTTTTCTAGAATTTGAATTCTGCACCCTATTTTTCTCTTACTCCGTCAGGGACTCTCTGTTGTGTTCGCTGTCAGGGCGCTCATTTGTGGTAGCCAGGCACCATCTAGTTCTTCTGGTCTCAGGCTGATGAAGTCTCTGGTTTATGTGGCCCTTTCTATACAGCATTCTTGCACTGACAAAACTATAGAAATAGAGGACTGATTAATGGTTCCAGGGACTAAGGAGAAAGTGATTGTAAGAGGGAAGTGGATGTTGCTATAAAAAGGCTCCATGAGGGATCTTTGTGATGATGGAAATGTTCTGTATACGGACTGTATGGACATCAATATCCTGGTTGTGATATTGTGCTATAGTTTCGCAAGATGTTATCACTGGAGGAAACTGGATAAAGGTACAAGGGATTGCTCTGCATTATTTCTTACAACTGCATGGGAATCTACATTTATTTCAAAACGAAAACTTCCGTTAAATAAAAAAAAAAAGGTAAAATTTGCTTGCTACGTCCTTTGGCTCCCTTTCTTGGCGTTTGCGTTGACCTGCTAGGGAGATCTTGTACCTGTTCTCTTCTGGAGCCCCAGGAACTATACCAGTTCACCACAAAGTGCTTCTGAAGGCTTCTCTAAATATGTCAAAAGGGTCTTCTACTTGCCAGCCTCTACGGGAATCAGCCCAAACATTTCCTTAGCAGATTTCCATCACTTTTAATAAAAAAAAATAAGCTATTTGGCAATTTGGCAAATTCTCCCGTTTTAGGCCTACCTCTTGCCACCATGTGTCAGCTCTCTGCAAAGCTCAGGAATCTGCCCTGTCACATGCATTTAGGGCAGAGACAGGCCCTCCCAGGATTCCACATCTGGGCACTACACGAGTCCCCTCCTGCAAAGACAGCTGCTGTGCTGGTCAGGCTTGGACCTGCAGGTGGTCCTTGGGTGATACTCCCTTTGCTTCCTACTTTTCACAGTCCCCTTCACACAAGCCCCACTTTTGTAAACCGAGGAATGCAAAGCCCAAGGTGAGAACTGGACACCTCAGTGTAAGGCTTTGGGACTTCAGGTCTCAGCAGCAATTGCATTTTCCAAGACTTCCTTGATTTAGGAAACTTCCACCTGCCATCTTCCACATGGCAGGGAACATCCCTGTATCTGGTAAGCCCTCAGGAATTTGCATTCAGCTGCCTCTTTCAGAAACCAGAAAAAATACGACTTAAAACTTCAGGGCTTTTGTCTTTTATTTGAAATGGTCTGTAGCCAGGCCATCTAGTGCTGGTTTGCTGCCTTCATCATATCATCAGTAGCCCCATATTTTTTTCTATCTTGTTTATTTCTCTTCCTTAACTACTACATTATCTCTCTGGTAGGTGGCTTTCATGAGATATTTCACTTTGAATGATTTATTTTTGACCAAATTTGTTTTGAATTTATTAGTGGTTACTGTCTGTCTTAGGCTGGGTTCTCTAGAGAAGCAAAACCAGTAGAGCATATAAATGTATATATATATATATATATATAGAGAGAGAGAGAGAGAGATTTACATCAAGGAAATGGCTCACACAGTTTTTAGAGGCTGAACGTTCCAAGTCTGTAGGGTAGGAAAGAGGCTTCACCTAATTCACATAGCCACAGGGGCTGGTGAACCCAAGATCAGTAGGCTGGAGAGCAGGGCTGTTGCTTACACACTGTGAAGATCAATGAATCTCAAGATCAGCAGGCAAGACCTCAGGTAAGCTGCTAGCTCAAGTCCCAAGAACTGGAGGTCAGATGAACAGGAGCCAGCTGCAGGATACAGAATAAGCAAAAGCCCTGGCAAGGAGAGCAAGAAGGACTAGGCAGCAGAGGGTGGAGAGATGAAGGCTGAGGGGGCAGTAGCCACCACAGACTCTGGCCCTGATGGTACCACTCACCGCAAATCCCATCATGGGGTGGTACATATCAAATCTCAACAGGGAAGTGATCACAACATTATATGACTGCCAAAACACTGAGAATCATGGGCCTGCCTAGTTGACACACAGTCTTAACCATCACAATATCTAAGTCCACTTTGAAATTACACTTCACGGGTAGTGCAGGTAACCTATAGCAAAGTATTTCCATATCCTCTCTTCTGTCCCTTATAACATTGCTGTGATTCAATTCATATATCTATAGGCTATAAACCAAAAAAACTAAACCCGTTGCTGTTGAGTCAATTCTGAGAGAAATTTTTTAAAATCTAAATAGTTGGAGAGATATCATGTTTAAGGATGCTCCATATTGTTAAGATGCCACCTTTCCCTAAATTGATCTCTACACCCAAATGCAATCTCAATTTAAAAAAAATCTAGGCATATTTTTTGAAAATTGACAAATTGATTCCAAAATTGATATGTAAATTCAAATGACCTAGAATAACCAAGGAGCCCTGGTGGTGCAGTGGTTAAGAGCTACAGCTGCTAACTAAAGAGGTCGGCAGTTCGAATCCACCAGCCGCTCCTTGAAAACCTGATGGGGCACTTCTATTTTGTTCTACAGGGTTGATATGAGTCGGAATTGATTTGACAGCAACAGATTTGGTTTTTGGTACAGAATAACCAAAGCAATTTTTAAAAAACAAAATTGGAGGATTTATGCTACCTGATTTTAAGATGTAGTATAAAGTTATGGAATTCAAGATACTGTATTATTGGTGAAAAGATAACTATATATAGACTAAAAGAACAGAGTTGTGAATTATGAAATAGACCCAGCCATACATGTTCAATTGATTTTTAATAAAGGTATCAAGAAAATTCAACAGGAAAAGAAAGACCTTTTGGCAAATTATACTGGAACAACCAGATTTCTGACTACGAAGAAAAAAAGGACATTGACCCTTAATACTCTATACAAAAATTAACTCAAAGGGTATCATAGAACTAAGTGTAAAAGTTAAAACAATACATTTTAAAAAAAAGGTGAAAACTTTTGTAACCTTGAGGTTGGTACAGATTTCTTATTCAAGACACAAAACCTCAAGACATGAAAGAAAAATCTTTGATTAATTGGATTTTATAAAAATTTAAAATTTTCACTCTTCTAAAGACACCAGGAGGAAAACAAGGCAAGGCAAGCCATAAACTAGGAGAAAAGATTTGTAAGACATATCTCAGACAAAGAAATTGTATCCAGATTGTCTAAATAACGCTTCCAACTTAATAATAAGACAAAAACCCAATGTAAAAATGGGCCAAATGGTTTCAACGGACATTTCATATAAGAAGATATACTATGGCCAACATGCACATGAAAAGATATTCAACAGCATTAGTCATCAGAGAAATGAAAAATAAAACTACAATTAGTTAACATAACACATCTCCTACAATCAAAAAAGACTGACAATACCAGTAGTTGGCAAGAATATAGAACTACTGACATTTGTTCATTCCACTGCTGATGGGAATGTTAAACCGTACAAGTATTTTTGGAAAACTGCTCCACAGTTTCTTAAAGAGTTAAGCATACACCTGTTATATGACCCAGTCCTTCCTAGGTATTTACTCAAGTGAAATACAAGTATGTTCCTAGCAGCTTTATTTGTAATAGATCCAGACTATAAAAACCAACCAACTAGCCAGCCGCTCAAACAAAAAACAAATGCCGATCAGCGGGTGAGTGGATAAGGGAGTTGAGGTATATCCATAAAGTGAACTACTGATCAGCAATAAAAATGAACAAACTACTGACACGTATATTTATACAGATGAATCTTAAAACTAGTGTGCTCAGTAAAAGAAGCCAGACACAAAAGAATACATCCTGGATCATTCCACCTATGTAAAATTCGAGAAAATGTAAACTAATCTATGGTGACAAAAAGCAGATCAAAGGTTGCATGGGGCTGTGGGGTGAGGAAGGGTGGACTGCAAATGAGGTAACTGAAATGTTCTGTATCTTGATTTTTGTTATGGTTTTGTAGGTGTATTCATCTAGCAAAACTAATGAATTGTATACTTTAAGTGGATGTGGTTTATTTTATGCAAATTATACCTTAATAAAAATCTCTGTGGGTTATGGGTGATATGCCAGAAAGATGTTTACCTGTGTTTTATTGACTATGCAAAGGCATTTGACTGTGTGGATCATAACAAATTACAGATAACATTTGAAAAATGGGAATTCCAGAACACTTAACTGTGCTTATGAAGAACCTGTACATAGACCAGGAGGCAGTCTTTCGAACAGAACAAGGGGATATGCGTGGTTTAGTCAGGAAAGGTGTGTGTCAGGGTTGTATCCTTTCACTATACTTATTCAATCTGTATGCTGAGCAAATAATCCGAGAAACTGGACTATATGAAGAAGAATGCAGCATCAGGATTGGAGGGAGACTCATTAACAACCTGCAATATGCAGATGACACAACCTTGCTTGCTGAAAACAAAGAGGACTTGAAGCACTTACTGATGCAGATCAAAGACTACAGCCTTCAGTATGGATTACACCTTATCATGGATTGAATTGTGTCCCCCCCAAAATATCTGTCAACTTGGCTAGGTCATGATTCCCAGTATTGTATGATTTTCCACCATTTTGTCATCTGATGTGATTTCCCTATGTGTTGTAAATCCTATCACTATGATGTAACAAAATGGATTAGCGGCAGTTATATTGATGAGATCTACAAGATTAGATGGTGTCTTAAGCCAGTCTCTTTTGAGATATAAAAGAGAGAAGCGAGCAGAGAGATAGGGGGACTGCATACCACCAAGAAAGCAGTGCTGGGAGCAGAGTGCATCCTTTGGACCTGAGGTTCCTGTGCTGAGGTGCTCCTAGATCAAGGGGAGACTGATGACAAACGACCTTCCTCCAGAGCCGACAGAGAGAGAAAGACGTCCCCTGAAGCTGGCGCCCTGAATTCAGACTTCTAGCTTACTGGACTGTGAGAGAATAAACTTCTCTTTGTTAAAGTCATCCACTTGTGGTATTGCTGTTATAGCAGCACTAGATGACAAAGACACACCTCAACATAAAACAAAAATCCTCACAAAGGGACCAATAAGCAACATCATGATAAAGCGATAAAAGACTGAAGTTGTCAAGGATTTCATTTTACTTAGGTCCACAATCAACACCCATGGAACAGTCAAGAAATCAAACAATGTATTGCATGGGGCAAATCTGCTGCAAAAGACCTCTTTAAAGCATTAAAAAGCAGAGATATTACTTTGAGGACTAAGGTGCGCCTGACTGAAGCCATGGTGTTTTCAACCACCTCATATGCATGAGAAAACTGACAATGAATAAGGAAGACCAAAGAAGAATTGGTGCATTTGAATTATGGTGTTGGTGAAGAATATTGACTATACCATGGACTGCCAAAAGAATGAACAAATCTGTCTTGGAAGAAGTTCAGCCAGTATGCTCCTTAGAAGCAAGGATGGTGAGACTTCGTTTCATGTACTTTGGACATGTTATCAGGAGGGACCAAGCCCCGGAGAAGGACATCATGCTTGGTAAAGTAGAGGGTCATTGAAAGAGAGGAAGACTCTCAATGAAATGGATTGACACAGTGGCTGCAAAGATAAGCTCAAGCATAACAATGATTGTGAGGACGGCGCAGGACTGGGCAGTGTTTCATTCTGTTGTAGGGTCACTATGAGTCGGAACCAACTTGATGCCACATAACAACAACAGCAAATCTTTATGGAAGCAGACTTCAACATCTTTCTCCTGCAGAGTGGATGAGTATGAACCCTACCTTTTGGTTAGCAGCCAACTGCTTTAACCACTGTGCCTTACATTACAACCAGTCATATTTTTCTTTGTGAGTTTATCTACATTAAATGCTCTGTAGATGTCCTTTTCCCCAAGTAAATCTGCTGTTTCACTTATCACATCCTAACTGTGGTATTGAGGGAAGGCTAAATTATTTATTTAAATGTCAATCAAATATCCATATAAAAGGAAGTGAAAGGAATGCTTGTGGTCTTAACCAAACTTCTACCAAGTACAACAAGGAAACTAGTTCTGAGAAAACAGGTTTTTTTATTTTAAATGTCCTTAATATGAATATATTTTACCCAGCTCAACAATTTGTCTCAACCAACATTGATAGATTTCATGTTTGTAGAAGGTGCTGTGCTGGGCATGTTGGAAGATGCAAAGGTGAACCAGACTCTCTCCTGGTCCTTGAAGATCTCTCAGTTGGCTGCACACTGTCTTACAAATTAATTAAAAGGCATATTTATCTGTGGTTGGTGGTGCATCATGTCTAGTGGTTGCTCCTCAAGAGCTAATTAGTTTAGTGTAGTAATTTCACTTAGTGAAAGTGAAAAGACACTGCCGAAGACCACTGGGGCAGCTGTAGCGAAGACGGATGTTTGGGGATGAAATGGCTTGTGTTATGTGGAGAAGACACTCAGAACTATCTTGGAGTAGAGGTCGGGAGCGCATCTGTCACCTGCTACTGATAGCACCTTAGCAGGTGTCAGGCACCACAGATGGAGCTTTCTGGAAACAGCATCCAACACCAAAAGCGAAAGAGTGGTCTTTTTTTTTTTTTTTTTTTTTGCCCGTCAAATCACACTCTGTGGAAATCTCTCAACCAAGTCCGGTATTTATTAAAATCCACAAAGAATATCTCCCCCTTCGTCTCCAAGACAAATCTTGGAATTTGACAAGGCAGATATAATGTCTTCCTTAGAGATCTTAGAGGGTGGTGATCCCACTTACCTGAGAATACCTATGATGTAAGACTCAGAACAGAATGTGAAACTCAGTTCTTCATAGTTGTAATCCTGGTTCTTTTTACCACTTCGTGATGGAAGGGAGAGAAGGGGTGGGATTGTCATAGGTACAACAAGAGCATGATTTTGGTATTTTCCTCTAAACAAGGCCACTAGGTTGCTTCTTATCTGGCAAACTTATTGCTAAGGAGTGAGTGTAAAAAGAGGAGTGAAAAGAGGAGAAGGAGAAAGGAAGAAACCAAAGATGGAAACAGTGGGAAATGGCATCCTGTCAGTGTGTGAATGCAGAGAAGGACGGAGGACTTTGAATCACCTATAATTACACCTGCCTGCTCTGCTGTGCTGTAATTTTAAGTCTCACCTGGTAATAAGACACCCTTCCAGTAAGCCATCTGGAGACAATCGAAGGGCAAGTAAATTCTACCTAAAAAAATGGAAGACAATTTTCTGAGTATTATCGTATAAACCTAGAAGCAAGTTTTGATGCCATTCTTGAAACCAAGCAATTGCTAGCAAAACTTTCTGCTGGCTTCTCTCCAGAGGCAAACAGCTTGGGCTTTCACAGCCACCGGGATTTCCTAGGCAACAGGACAGTAAACTTGAAAAAAAGGCAGGGCCAGGATAGGGATTGACAGTGATCTCAGCCAGTCAGGCTGTGAGTCTGCAGCCATCATTCCCAAATCATCCAATTGGCGCTAAGAGAGCTGGACCAGGAGGCTGGAGAAAGAAAGGTAAGAGGGAGGAGGCGAAAAGGAGACGGGAGGGGACCAGTTTTTTCAGAAGCTGGAGAGAGTGTCCGTAGTTGCTGTTCGAAGCAACTGGTGGTGACAGGTTAACATTTAAGGTAAATAGATTTTTTTTTTCTGTCTCATTGATCTGATTACTTTTTGTTTCATATTAGCTAAATAAAGAAGACTGGAGATGTTATACTCTAAAAATAAAGGCTAAAAGTTGATGAGAGTTCTTGGAGGAGGCTGTCGCCCAGGGAAGTAATAGCTTGGCGCTGGGAGAGGATTTGCCATGAGATGCTCAGATAAAAATGGACAAAAATAAATTTCATTCAGTCAGTATGTACTGGGTGGGTGAGTGTGAAGTGTTTGGGTGAATTCCCAAAACTGTCCTGTGAGGTAAGTATCATTCATATGACTTAGCTTCAAGCAGGTTTAAATATCTATAAGTCACACAGCAATTAAAAGATGGAGCTTGTATTCAGAACTTGGTTTGTCTGACATTCAAAGCTTATGCTATTTCTACCACACCCTGCTGAGCTGATCACTTAGAATCAGAATAAGAATCAGATGTCTTATTAAAGTGTACTGACACAGCATGTTAAAAATGATATCAGAGTTGATGTGATTAATTCTAGACTCGGCAGATTGTTAAAAATTATATCAGAGGATCAATTTGATTAATCATGGAAAGGCCTTAGTAAATGGCAACACCATTTATCCAGGTGCTCAGCCCCTTGTCTTCAGTTTAGAGCATAGTGAAAATACACTAAATAGATGAAATTCTTTCCTGGTTTCACAGGTCTTGTTTTTTCCTCAAAATCTTACAATGGCAGAAATATCCTTATTTTGTTATTGTGAATTTTAAATGTTATGACTTACATTGTGGAAATTCATTTATACTTATATTCTAATAGCAATCTAATAGCAACATACTAAGTGCTGATGAGGGGAGACACAAAGGACACAGCCCTGGCGCTTAGGACCTTTAGAGTCTAGAAGGGTACGCAGTTCTGAAAGCAAAGAGTTACTTCAAAGTGTAATGTGGGCACTATTCAGACTTTGCACAGGGACACACAAAGGAAGATGTGAGCAGCTCTCTGGTGGTAGTGGTTATGTGAGGCAACACTGCAGTGATTACACAAGGATGAGTAGGACTTCTGGTCAACATGGAGGGAGGGTGTTCCTGAAAGTGGGGATTACATGAGCAAAGGCACAGAGGTATGGACCACCATGGAGTATTCAGGGGACTGTGAGGGAGTATAGGTGCAGAATGGGTTTTGAAGGGGTTGAGGAGTTACTTGAGACAAAGCTGGAAAGGCAGGCAGGGACAAAGCATGCATCTGATGCTAAGAAGTTTGGACTTTACTTGTATGCAATGGCGAGCTACCAAAGAACTTTAAACTAGAGTATGAAGTTCAGATTTCCATTTCGTAAAGATCGCTCTGACTGCCATCTGGAGTTTGCATGGGAGGGGCCAAGGCTGGAGGCAATGAACCAGCTAGGAGGCAGTTTGCATAGTGGAAATGAGAGATGATCATGTCCTGGACTAAGTCAGTATCCATGGTGATAGAAGCGAAAATGGAGATACAGGAGGTGTCCAGGTGGTGAATTCTACAGGACTTGACTGCTGATTTGATGTCAAGGGTCAGCTAATGACCAGGGTGGATGGTGTTTCCATTTCCTGAGGCAAAGAATAATGAGGAAAAGATAATGGGTTTAGTCTTGGAATATTAAATTTGAGGTACCTCTAGGTCATTTAAGTGCACATGTTTTATGAGAGATTAGAAATCTAGCTCTGAAGCTTGGGAGAGTGCATGGGTTGGAATAAAGATTTAGGACCATCAGTGGTTGTTAGTGGATATGGCTGAGATTGCCACGGGACGGTGTGAGGGTGAGAATAGGGTATATAACCAAAGGCTGGGAAAGAGTGACATTTAAGAAGTAGGAAGAAGATAAAGAAGAGACAAAGTAGGAAAGACTAGAGGAAGGAGGAAAACAGAGGAAATTAGATTCATAGACATTACAAGAGAAAAGAGTTTCAAGAAAGAATAATGAATAGAGTCAACTGTTGGGAGAAGTGAAATAGGGACTAAGAGGGACTGTTCAAGTTGGCAATCCGGTTAGAAATGACTTAGCAAGAGTTTGTTCATTGAAATGACAGGTGGTGGCTAGATGGCAGGGAGCTGAAGTATGATGGGGCATGAGAAAGTGAAGAAACTGGAAACTCATTCAAGTAGTCTGGCCTTGAAGGGTGATAGCTACAGGGAGTTCAGGATTGAGGGACCAGAGTGGATTCATGAACTAAAGAGAAGGAGCTGGTGGAAAGAAGGAGAAGGGCATAACTGGTGGCTGAGGGTCCAAGCAGGGTTGGGATCTATGTCTCAGATAGAGAGGTTATCCTTAGATGGAAACCAGCTCAGCTCTCTCTTTGGGGTAAGTGAGGATGAATTCAGGATGATTTTAGAGATAAATACCTTTATAGATTTGGAGGAGTGTGATGTGAAGGAGTTCATATCTGGTAGCTCAGTTTTTTTCTGTTACTTTTAAGACAAAGTGTCACAAAGATTTGAATTAACCCCTGAGAAGATTGGAAGAAGAATCTGACCAAGGTCATATAAAAGTATAGTTGAGTGCTTCTGAAGACCAGCTGTAGATAAAGAATAAATGTTCAGGAGCCACATTTATCCTGGTGTGTGGGTCAGTTGCACATCACAGCCTCCCTCTAAGGAAGGGGAGCATGAAAGGATTGAGCCAAGTCAGGCATTCATAGTGAGGATAGAAGATCAACAAGTGAGGCTAGAGAGTGAAGGCACTGGCAGGGGATGGTCAGAATGATGCACCACATGTCTAGAATGGATAGGGAAGGGAATGAACCAGAAGACAGAATGAGATAGGTAATTATTGGGGCAAAAAAGCAGGGACGAGGGAAATAGTGAAATAATGGAACTGAAAGGTAGAGAGACAGTGATTTTGAAGTTTGAACTTTCAGACAGGACCAGCTTTGGATAATGACAAAATGTTAGACATGCTCTTGGAAGGCAAGGCTGACAGGGCGAGCAGACGAAGTTGGTAGAAATTGGAGAGCTCTGAGAATTCCGTGGTTGCACGTTGGAAGGATTTTCTAGATGAACTCTGAGGTTTCCCAGACTGACGGAGGCACTTGGGATGAGAGGACATCTCAGTGATTTAGAAAATTACAGAGCCAAGAGGGACCTAGGGAGTATGTCCAGATGGGCTGTGTACTTCAAAAAGGACATGAGAAAGGGGCATGATGTAGAGGTGGCAGGGTGATCTTAGAGACTGTGAGGTCCTTAACCAAACCCATTGCCATCGAGTTGATTCTGACTCATAGCGACTCTACAGAACAGAGTAGAACTGCCCCGTAGGGTTTCCAAGGAGCACCTGGTGGATTTGAACTGCCGACCTTTTTGGTTAGCAGTGGTACTTTTAGCCACTCTGCCACCAGGGTTTCTGTGAGGTCCTTAGTACTTAGAATTTGAGATAAGAAGAAGCCTTGGTTCAAGAAATCTGCAGGAGAAGTAGAGTTTCTTACACAAATTCATGTCCTAGGTAGGATAAAGACAGTGTACCAGTCAGTATCTGGGCAGGAAATGGATGGCACATTCAAAAGTAGTAACAGAAGAGCATTTAATGAGAGGACAATTTACAAAGATGTGAGCAGTTTCAAGGAGATAGATAAGGGATGATGAAACACCCCAGGGCTGCCACAGCGAGGAGAACTATTATTACCCTCATGAAGCTGTGGAAGAGCGCTGCCTTCGATAAAGGACTCCAGCCACTGACAAGCTTGTTGACAGAGAGGAACCAGAGAAATAAATACTCCAGCCTCTTTCTCCTCCTGCCCTCTGATCTCCCGCTAGTGCTTTCCACTGGCTGATTCCAGCTGGAATCCAGGCGCAAGGAAATGTGGTTAATGCAGTTCGTAGAGGTTAACCTGCTTTAGCACAGATGAAGAGTGGAGAATGGATTGGCGGAGAAGTCTGAAAAAACAGAATGTTTAGTTCAGCAGTGAAGACAGTTGTGAGAAGAGGACAAAGAGTAGGAGATTTTTATAATGGGATGAGGAATTGAGGAAAGTCCGGGTGTTTTTGAGTGGAAGGTGCTCTTGGTCTTAAGAAGGCTAAGTCTCTCCTAATAACTTTCGTGTTGGTTGGGGTGCTTGGGAGCAAGGAGTTGTGGTGTTTAAACCGGTAAAAAACCCGTTGCTATAAAGTTGATCCCGACTCATGGCGACCCCCACGTGTGTCAGAGTAGAACTGTGCTCCAAAGTGTTTTCCATGACTGATTTTTCAGAAGTAAGTTGTCAGGCCTTTCTTCTGAGATGCCTCTTGGTGGACTCAAACCTCCAATCTTTCAGTTAGAAGCCGAGTGCTTTAACTGTTTATACCACCCAGGGACTCTGTGGAACAACTCTTTTGGTTTTAAGTGTTGCTTTAATTTATGAAAATCCATGAGTCTATTTTATGAATTAAATAAGGCTTTACACTATTGAACTTGTAAAATTTTGCTCTTTATTCTGATCTTGGACAGCTTCCTTTAAAGAAAAAGTAACAAGATTCATAAGAGCAGCTTTTTATTTCAGAAACAAACATGCTGGCATTTGGCAGAAGCCGGCATTACAAAATAACATTATTATAGAAAGGCCACAAGTTGTTTTCCCACGACACCGTTAGTGCTTATGAAACTTTATGTCCCTCATGAGATGCTTTGGAGTGGAGTTGCTCGTGTATTTCTAGTCACAATTCCATTGTCATCCAATATCTTGTTTCTCTCTTTCTGCAGCCTGAGAATAGCTTTTTTTTTTAAACTTCTCATAACATGAAGTCAAATAAATTTAAGTTTTCCAAAGACTACAAACTGAAAGGTGTAATTTGAGAGAACAGGACAATCCTTGGTGAAGAGGTGGTTTAAAGATGTTCCTCTTTTCTCTGAAAGCTCTGCTTAGTGTTTATCACTTCGGCCACTGGCCCTCTGACCTC